CTGTCATTATTGTCCAAACGCCTGATAGTACCATGCATTTGATGCATGGCCTGGAAATGCATTTTGTTTCGAAAAAGTGTCTAAATACGAAAATTCGCATGCAAGCGCATGCTTGTGCACTTCAGCCAATTCAGCAAAGGAAATAGACTGGAGACGTTCGTTTTATTGCTAAGAATTAGGCCAAACGACGGTTCATTTGCTTAGTTTTCATGAAATTCTCCCAATAATTCGCCGATGGTCTAAAACACTGTCTTTTTCATTTGATAATCTCAAAACATTTCATACGGGGACAGTGTGCATCTTAGAGAGGTCACCAATTCAGATAAATTCGTAATGATGGTAGCAGTTCTCTGTTCTTGCAACTCGCATTCAGAAACACTTGCGCATCTCAAAATGATGCTGATAGGGGTTTGTACAACTGCCGAACATTGGCATACTTACCTGGCATAGAGAACACCTTGGTCAAGATGGAGGTTTCTCCAGTGCGAGGCCTGTCCATTGCACATCGGATGGGCTGACCGCTGCGATAACCCCAAATGTGGGTTACTCGGATGCGTAATTTATGATAGTGGGGGACTGCGGTTCGCGCTCTCCCCTGATCTAACAAACAAAAATCACTCCCAGCTCTTCCATCTCCACTCTTAAGCTTCCGAAGGCGACGACTGCGCCTGCAACGCCCTGTTTAGTGCCATAAGCTCAGCAAGAAGCACATCCTGCCGATCAGCTAGCAATGCACGACCATGCATGAGACTGTCATTATTGTCCAAACGCCTGATAGTACCATGCATTTGATGCATGGCCTGGAAATGCATTTTGTTTCGAAAAGTGTCTAAATACGAAAATTCGCATGCAAGCGCATGCTTGTGCACTTCAGCCAATTCAGCAAAGGAAATAGACTGGAGACGTTCGTTTTATTGCTAAGAATTAGGCCAAACGACGGTTCATTTGCTTAGTTTTCATGAAATTCTCCCAATAATTCGCCGATGGTCCTAAAACACTGTCTTTTTCATTTGATAATCTCAAAACATTTCATACGGGGACAGTGTGCATCTTAGAGAGGTCACCAATTCAGATAAATTCGTAATGATGGTAGCAGTTCTCTGTTCTTGCAACTCGCATTTCAGAAACACTTGCGCATCTCAAAATGATGCTGATAGGGGTTTGTACAACTGCCGAACATTGGCATACTTACCTGGCATAGAGAAACACCTTGGTCAAGATGGAGGTTTCTCCAGTGCGAGGCCTGTCCATTGCACATCGGATGGGCTGACCGCTGCGATAACCCAAATGTGGGTTACTCGATGCGTAATTTATGATAGTGGGGGACTGCGTTCGCGCTCTCCCTGATCTAACAAACAAAAATCACTCCCAGCTCTTCCATCTCCACTCTTAAGCTTCCGAAGGCGACGACTGCGCCTGCAACGCCCTGTTTAGTGCCATAAGCTCAGCAAGAAGCACATCCTGCCGATCAGCTAGCAATGCACGACCATGCATGAGACTGTCATTATTGTCCAAACGCCTGATAGTACCATGCATTTGATGCATGCCTGGAAATGCATTTGTTTCGAAAAAGTGTCTAAATACGAAAATTCGCATGCAAGCGCATGCTTGTGCACTTCAGCCAATTCAGCAAAGGAATAGACTGGAGACGTTCGTTTTATTGCTAAGAATTATGCCAAACGACGGTTCATTGCTTAGTTTTCATGAAATTCTCCCAATAATTCGCCGATGGTCTAAAACACTGTCTTTTTCATTTGATAC